GGGGGGGGGGGGGGGGGAGTGAAGGAAAAATCAGGGCTTATCCTCCATACGGGATCATGCTCAAACACGTTGCAGGTTCGCGACGTTTGTCATTAACTGCACGTCGTTAATCTATTAAGATAAAGGCGTACGGCAACTCGTCCTCCTTGTCCCCGCGTATCTCCGGGTGATCGCGTTTGATGAACTAGAAAGGACTTCGCAGGAAGCAGCAACAACGCCCTCTTTCCAGATACTGCCCGGTCAGTCTCCTGCAATTACCAAGTAAAACCTCGACACATCTCAGTCTGCGTCCCGTGGTCGATTCTCGTCACGGTTTCTCGTCTCTTCTTGTTGATGTGTGTAAGTTGCGATCTGTTGACACCGCCGAGGTTTCTGTCACCAGTCGCTTTGGTAGATCAAGAAAGAGAGGTTGCAGTCTCGTACTCCTTAATAGCTCTGCTGCAGAAGTGCTGGCCGTAGATGCCACCAGTCCTACTACAATGTCCGATGGCAGTTTTTGATCCACAGTTTCAAAAAGTGGTTTTTTTTTCAGACACCTCCGCGTCTGTTTTTGGCCGCGTCTTCCTCCTCGTTCTAACAATTCTCAGGGTAAAGCTGGCTGTAGCGACGGTCTAGTCAGTACGGAACGCAGGACTCACAAGATATTTGACAAGTATTCAGTTACATTCTGTACTCAGTGTCCATTGATGACAAAGGAGCAAGTGTTCATCTTCATGAATGTTATTACAAAGATTCATGAGAGCATTACTGAGAGCTGCAAGAATTTCTGAAGTGATGTCACTTTCGTGTATCACTTCGTGATCTCACGCCCTGAAGTTTTTTTAATAACACCGTATGAACTTTGTAGTGTGGGCCCTACGTTCGAACACAAGAAGACGGGCCGAGGGACGGGACATTCTTCAACGCCCTATTGACCTTTTGATAAAGTGAATGAATGTCGATGATTTGTCTGTAGGTCCGCAGTGCGACAGTTCTGCACGTCAGATGACTGACCGTCTTCGGGGATGTTGCACCACGCAGTATCGTAGACTGACTGATCGATATTTTTGAGGTCGTGTTCGATTTAATTTGTGTTTGCTACAGAGAGAGTGACGAGGTCTCTATTAGTTACTGAGTACAGCATCTCAGGAGGACATGTAACTTACGCGAATCCTCAAGTCTTCGGGCTGTTTTCTTGTTTGTGCCACGTCACGCTGTCTCTGCTGCTTGCTGTAGACCGCAGGTTCGAATTCCGCACGCACACGCCCAGCTACTGTGTTCTTATGGAAATCTGATCACCGACAGTGGTCAAGAGATTTCTTCTGTCGCATTATTTCTGAGCACTGACAGGTTGCAGCCTGTAGTGTGATCGTCGAAGTACTATTATCGTGGTATGCGCTCTCTTTAATTAACCCCTTGAAGCCCAAGCTCATCTGAATATTATTTTAAAATTCAGTCCGTACCGCAAAGAAAACAGAACACTTCGCCGTTACATATATAAACTGGCTAACGCTGTGGGCGGGGTATACAGCACGCACAGGGAGATAAAAGTTAATGCAAAGTCTTGGGGGAAGAGACAATTTTGGAGATATTCGTGTGGATGGAACGATAATATTAAAATGGATCTTAAATGAGTGCGGTGTAGACATGAACAGTGTAGAACAACGTCCAGTGCTGGGTTTCTGTGAGTCTGTGTCTTACACGCGCGTTTGTTTTTAAAGTGGAAATGGGCGCTGCGTGCGTCCTTTTAATTCTGCGTTTTAATTGTAGGCAATAAATCTTAAACTCTTTGCGCGCGTGCCCAGTGACGTAACAGACACTGATAACGGATGCTCGCAATTAGCAATGCTAGAAACGCCCAGTTAGGTTACATGCACCGAGCTCAAACATGGAGGCTCAGGGTTTTACTCATGTCACCTGCTCGTAGCCGAGAGAGAGAGAGAGAGAGAGAGAGAGAGGTCTTGCGGCTGGTAATGCTCATTTTGTCTCCACCACAGAATGTGTAAATTAAGTAATTATTATTTTTATTGTTATTATAATTTGAAGACGCAGACATATTTAGTCTCCTACAAGGACAGGAAATTCGCGTTTAACATTCAGTCTTACCCCTCAAATTTAACGCGGGTCAAAGCCGGGTTACAGTTGTGGTTATTAAAATATTTTAGCGTAGTAAATAAATGCACGTCGAGGTGTTCGGTACAGCCGTGACTCTGCTATTAGCATAGCCCGTCCGTGGCTTGACTAATTGCGCACCTAGAGGACTCTCTCGCTCTGTATAAGCACCAAACCCCGTGAAATCGGCAGCGTAGGGCGTGCTCCAAGGGTGTGTTCAGCCGGGGTACGTGTGGGTAGCAATAAGTACCCCGGTTA